ATCACCGCAACGGCAACCGGCGCCCTCGCAGGCCTCTACGACGCTCAACCCCTATACCCCGCCACCGGTCCCGCCTCCCTCGCCTCCGTCGACATCTTCAACGGCCTCACCACAAACGCAGTCTGGTCCACCCCTCTCCCCCTCACCTCCGACGGCACCTCCAAATTCGGCGCCTCCGCCACCTCGCCCTTCCCGGCCAAAGCCGACCTCGTCATGCCCGGCATCGCGCCCATGAAGCAGCTCGGCGTCCACTTCTTCGACAACACGGGCGTGCCCACCTTCCAGGTCGGCGAGGACTTGTTCAGGGGCGCAAAGCTCAACGGCACAAAGGCCCCGGCCTCCGCTGACGTCGGCCCGGAGAAGACTGGCTCCGTCGACTGGCTTTTGCTTGGTGACAAGGGCGGCAGCAAGGGTGTAACTGCCGTCTACCGCGTCGTCACCGCCGGCGGCGTCGCGCACCAGTGTACCACCCCCGGTGCCACCGACAGCGTTCCGTACGCGGCGTACTACTGGTTCTACGGTCCCAAGGCATGAAAAGAGAGCCTTGAATCTCTCACTGGGATGACTCTCCAGGACGAGTCTGGCGTTTAAAAAACTAAATCGGGGTTACAACGGCGTTCAACGGTTCTCGGATACCGAGGATTCTTTTTCACAGAACCCGGAACAAACTTTTCTTCTTCATCATTCACTCACCAAAATCATATTTGGATTATATACCCCAGCACGGACGGATCACGGGTTCGGGTACACTTAAGACATAATGTGGCTATTTACTTACTCCACTCGAGGAGGGAAAGCATCGCAGATAGATGTTGGGGCTTCATATGCTGTCACTCTCACTTTTTATTTCAACTGTATCTACTTTGGCGTTTGACGGTATATAGTCTCATCGGGGGCAAACAAACTACTTATTTACATCTCACACCTCTCTGGTTACGAATCGTATTGTGCAGTGACAGCCATTTGGACTCCGACCCGCTCGCTCTGCGTTATTGCTTCCTATCATGATCATGACGTAAACTTGCTTGACGATAGCATGCTGTCAACTTGTCAAGAGTCCAGGACATATCAGCAGAACCTGAGAAAAGCCCGCCTGATATTCTCAACTGAAGCTTGCATGAGTATGCCGCCATCTAGGCCACCAGTGCACCGATCCACATAACCGAGATGAGTAGAAGCGTTCAGTCCCTGCGGACACATCACACACGAACAGAGATTAAGAACCGACAAGTAGCCGCCCAAGGGACGATAGCACTACAAGCGCGACATCGCATGATAGGGAATTAAGTAAATTTGGGGGCTGCTGTCATCTTTGTCGTGTTCATTCAACCCCTCGGGCGATCCAGTCCCCCAGTGTTTCGACTTTGTCCTCCTCTTTTCTCTTCCTTCTCTCCTCTCCTCCAGATGGAAGAGCGGCCGTCATCAAGATCAATCCCACCGTTTTCTAACGCTGATCTCTCTCCTCCTCCCCACCTGACGTGTAAAATCGCGGAAAGACATCACATCCAAAACAAAATTCTGAAATTGCCCGCCAGAGTCTGCAAACCAAACACCGATTTTGCTAGTCGTTCATGCGCGATTCCGCGCAGCGCACCAATCCATGAAGAACTTTCAACGGCTTTATCTCCGGTGATCGAGGCCGCCAGCAAGGTCCGCCTCCAGGCCGCCTCCTTGGCCGCCGTACTCCTGAGGCCGAGGGTCCGAAGAGCTCCATCCCTGGTTGCCTCCGGTGGGAATTGGCACTTGGCCGCCACCCTGCTGTCCAGCAGCCTGCGTGCCGGCCTGGGTAGCTCCGGGGACGGTGCGAACCAACTGGCGGAAACGGTAGACCTCATCCAGGATCATCTTACGCATGTCGCCAACATCTTCAACGACCTCAAAGTCGAAGTTGAATGTCGTGGGGCAGTCGGGCTCGTCGGAAGCATCATGCCAGATGTGCAGGTAGGGGTGCTCAAGAGCTTGCTCGACGCTGATACGGCTCGAGGGGTCAAAGGCAAGCATGCGATCGAGGAGGTCGAGGGCGTCAGGGTTGGCCTGAGGGAACAGGCTGGGGAAGGTTTTCTTAGGCATGAAAGGAAGGTTGCGGACGTATTCCTGGGCGCGGGGCGAGCCGATGCGGGACAAAGTCTCTTCGTTGGGGGTTCCGAGAATGTGCAGGATTTGATTCAGCTGGTCCACGTAGTCACGACCCTTGAAGAAGGGACGGCCTCCGAGAAGCTCGGCCAAAATGCAGCCAACGGACCAAACATCAACTATCGCGTGGTTAGCATCTCACTCAAATGCAGTTATGCAACGCCTTCTGGGATACGTACTAGCTTTGGTGTAGCTTTGGAAGCTCAGCATGATCTCGGGAGCACGGTACCATCTGGTAGCAACGTATTCCGTCATGTAACCAGCATTCTCCTCAGGATCGACGGAGAAGCCACGCGCCAGACCGAAATCGCAAATCTTGAGCTCGCAATCGGCGTTGACGAGCAGGTTACCGGGCTTCAGATCACGGTGCAGGACGTTGGCGGAGTGGATGTACTTGAGACCACAGAGGATCTGGTAGATGAAGGACTGGAAATGGGCGTCGGTCAGCGGCTGGCCTGATCGGATGATGGCTGCCAAATCGCATTCCATGAGCTCTGTAGCAGAACAAAAGAGTTAGCACAGCTGATTCGACCGGGGCGGCGGATGCACGCGATAGAAAGCGTACCCTCGTAGAGATATGTCTCGTTGAAGTTATCGGGTCGGGGGATGTCCATATCGTAGAGGCAGGTAATCTGTCAAAGCGGGCAAGTCAGCATCATTTTCTGGCGTGGGCGGTGGTGCAGCCGCGTGGCGATGAGGCTGCGCGGGGTTCTTGGGACAGCTTCGAGAGCGGGCATAGGGGAAGACTCACGTTGCGGTGTCCCCTGAAGTGCTGGAGCAGCTTGATTTCGCGCAAGGCGCGCTTGGCCAGGATCTTCTTGCTGAACACATTTGTGACCTTCTTGATGGCGACGCCCTCCTGGGTCTGGTTGTTCACGGCGGCGCTGTGTGAGGGGAGTATTCGTCAGCTTCTTGGCCAAATGGCGGGGCAGCGGTGGTGGCAGCAGCATCAGCATCAGCGCCAGCAGCGCAGACAGCAGCGACAGCCGATGGGATGAGGGGAAGAGCAGGTTAAAGGTCGCACGCACCAGACAATGCCGTAAGCTCCCTGACCGAGCTCCTTGGTTACGGTGTATCGCTCGTCGACGATGAAGTCCTGGTTGAAGACCTTGAAGACCTTGCGTCCTTGCAAATCAGCCATGTTTGCGAGGTTTGTGTGCTGTTCGTTTGGGGGAGGTTTTCGAGTTGGTGTTGGGGTTGGAGCTGTTGTTTTTTCGAGCTTGGAGGATTGGCGTGTCGGGCTTGTCGAGAAATCGAGGGGTATCTTTGGCGAGTCAATCGAGGCAAAGGTGGGGAAGCAAGCAAGGAATGCGATGCGATGCGACAGTTGCGGAACAGACAGGGTAGCGGGATCAACCGAAAAGAACGGCTCGTCCAAGCAGTGACAACAGCAGCAGCAGTGACAACGCTCGACGCGAGTGGGCGAGGGGATAGCAGGCTGTATTATAAAGGTAGGCAGAGCAGCGTCTGTTGTTTTCTTCGGAATCTTTCCTCGGTGAAATATGCTGGATGACAATGCGGTGTCGCCGGAACAATTCTCGTCTTTGTCCCGCAGTGGAGGGGTGAGTTGGGATGAGATGTGAAAGGAAGAAAGACGGGAGGAGAGGAAGTGAGCAGAGGGAGGAAGGTCCAAAGATATTGTGCGATTCCTCAGGTACCTAAGGTACGGTAGGTAAGGAAAGTAAGGCCAGGTTAGTTAATGGGCAGGAGCAAGAGATGAAGTAGAGGTACCACACCACAAAGTGTACCTTTCACCTTACGTCTTAGGATAGGACGACGGGGAAATGGCCTTGAGGGGAATTGGGGAGGGGATGATGGGACTGGACAGGATCAAATGGGATGGCCAGACCGGGAGACAGCGCCTTATGGGATGGAGCATTCACAGTTTGAGGCAAGAAAAGGCGATAAAATGGTCAAAGGCACGAGCCGAGGGGGAGGGTTCCATTTGGGAGGGACTGTCATGGACCTGACATTTGGATAGTGGACTTAAATGGACCTGACCTTCTGGGTCCTTGAACAGGGACAGAAAGCAACAAGGAAAAGGCAGATGGAAAGGGGGGGGCAAGGCAAGCAAGCAGCTGTATTGGCACACTCCATTTCATTGAAGACAAGTGGGATCTGTGGGCTGGCTTGACTTGAGGATTGTGACTGGACATTGGATGCTTGGGTCCTGACACCTGGAGATGCTGAGACTTGGCCCAAGGCTGAGTGCGGTGAAGTATTGGTAGACTACCTACGAATACCTAGTACCTTGGATGATAAGTGTGTGGATGTATCCGTACTTCTTCTTGGTACCTTGTTCAGATTGATGGTAGGATATTAGCAGGAGAATGAATGGAAGAGAGGGGTGAGAGGGGTATGGGTACTGCGTAGTGGGCTGAAGCCCCCCCCCCCCCCCCATCCCGGGCTCTTGTGTCTCTGCCTTACGAGGAAGCCCCGACCACGTCGCAGCACTCAAGGTACTGGTGCTACGGTAGTACCTGGTGCCTAGCTACCTTACTTGAGTAAAGTATCCGTAGTTAGTCGGCTGTCTTGAATCCAGTCTAACCAATATCAAGCAAATGGATACATCAAGAGCTCAAGATCTTGAGCTTCCTGCGTGGGAACATGGAAAGACTGCAAGGCAAGGTACAAGGTACAAGCTGCTGCTGACGTTAGGCCGGAAGCGACTTGGCGTGAAGGGACGTGTGGACCCACACTACGATCCCCAGTCCCGCACTTGATTTGCTGGCTGGGTCTTTGTGAGGCCTCTCATTGGCTCCATCCTCAGATGAAAGGCTCCATATACCTCGGGCCAGTAACCGCTGAGCATCGTGACTGGACTTTTGGAGATGCAGCTTTTCGCAACCGCGCGACAAATCATCGCCATGGATCGTACAGACCACCCTCACTCGAATCCTCGGTTGAGAATTGAATATGGGTCCAAGGCTGGCCTGGCGGCTTTTTACACGAGCAGAAACGACCTCATTTTCGCAGATATATGCAGCGTGAGTACCTGCACCAATGACCGGCTCTAACACATCAATCAAGATTCTGCAATGGGGAAGAGAGTTTGGGATACGAATACTGCAATTTCTTTGCTTGATGCCTGGATGCTGCATCCCAACACAAGAGGAACAAAATTTGGTCTTTGCAATGCAGTGGCAGCTCAGCGCCGGCTGAAGAAGAAACCCCAGGACTTTGGACCTTTAAAGTGAGACACTTTTGACTGTCAGACCTTCGTCCTGGCCCGCATTTGGCCCAGATGTGAGCACCGTCAAAACTTTGAACTGAAGGCCGATTCAGCCGCGCCTCATCCACAATCATATAGGTCGGAACGAGACGTACCAAGCAACTGCACCCAAGGCAGGTTGCTGAAAATGCGAGCTTTAGGCTACCCCTCTCTTCCATGGTCAAAATGCACCATTGCATTATCATGTAAGCTTAGAGGCGTCAGCGTCAGACACATTAAAGATTCCTCATTCGCAGGATCCCGAAATATCGCACATCATCCAACATCACAGCCCTCGAGGGATCTAACGTAAGCAGCTCGTCTACCGTCTTTTGCGCAGTCATCCTCGACGGCGTAGGTAAGCTACCTCCCGTTATCAGGCAGCACTACCATAGCAACCCAGGTACATCGATGTGTACTGGACAAATAGGGCTGAAGGATCTCTGATCCATACCACGAACATCTGCTCAGACAGTGCTGGTTTCCAAATATTTCTTTCCCTTGGGCCACCTGGTGCTCTGCCATCTTCGTATGCGATGCCAAGGCTCAAGTGCCTAGCTGCTGCCGCCGCCAATAACGCTAGCTTGCGCGTAGCCGACATCTCGAATCCCATTTCGCTTAGGCACCTCGACCCCTCGAGCTCTCTTCAACGGCGTCTACGGCTCCATCCTCATCTGGCCGTCTTGCCGTTGTCCTGCACTTGGGACCTACATTGGCTGGCAACTGCATGGAATCTAATCTTCTATATGCATCTTGTAGCTGTGGAATCAATCAAACCAAAGACACGCTTAAATGCTCCTCTTTTCTCTGCCTTTCCTTCTCTAATAATGCAGCATGATCAATCGGGCAGCGCGGCAAGCTGTTCCCAATGGCCTACCCATCCCTCTTGCCCCTGTCCTGGCGCCTTGTCGTGGACAAGATGATCGTCAACGACAAACCCATATTTGGCACCCAGCCAGTCAGATCTCTGCTGCAACGCGTGACGCCGCTCCCAAGTCGTGTTTCGCGGCGCGTCGCCGGCCCTTTATCCTCATCCATCTGGCTCCAGTGCTGTCTCCGCCGCGGTCGCAAACCCGCGATCCTTCTATGCTTTAGGGTCGACATTGGGGAAGACGTGCTTTAAAAAGTTGGTCGAGAACCGCGTGCACTGCTCATAGGCCTTTGCGAAGCCCTCGTCGCCACCGTAGTAAGGGTCGTTGACCACCTCCGACCTCGGTCCTCCTGAAAATTCGCCAAATAACATCACCTTGGCCTTTGAATCGGTGTGGCCTCGTTGTTGTAGGTTTTGGAGGTCTCGTAGGTTGGATCGGTCCATAGCGAAGACGTAGTCGAACTTGTTAAAGTCTGAGGGCGACACCTAAACATTGTGAAAGCGTGACGGTCAGCAAGTCTGTTCTCTCTTCAGACCCGCTCGGGCGCACCCTGTGAGAGAGGGAGCACCATCGTACCTTGCGACCAGCGTGGTAGTAATCCGTTATGCCGTGGTCTTCGAGCGTTGCCATAGTTCTGTCATCTGGAGGATCGCCGACATGGTAGGCCGCTATTGTTGCGCAGAAAGACCGCGTCAGCTTTGCTTTGCGCACGAGAAGTGGTAGAGGAATTGGGTTCATCATGACGTATCCGCCATAATTCGTACCTGTGCCGCAAGAATCCACCTTTGAGATGAGGCCCTTGTACTGAGGCTTTTGCGCAAAGTTGCGAAACACGCCTTCTGCCATTGTCGAGCGGCAAATGTTGCCGAGGCAGACAAATAGGACTGATACCGGTTGTTCCGTCATGATTTCCCTGTAGTTGTCCAGGGGCAGTGTGATGTGAAAGAGAGTGGAAGTTGTCGCGCCTTTAGCCAAGGCGGACTTTGTTCAGGTCCGACTGCCCCGCGACCGCCAATGTGGGATGGAGGGGCACTGGTGTACCGTGTCTGAGTAATCAGACCTCGCACGGCAGGCACTGTAGGTGGGTCCGCCATTTCGTCACCGACTTCTTCGCGGAGCCAGCGATTCCGTCTTATCATCAACCACCTCTCCAATCCCGACTTACATATACATCGCTCGCTACCAGACTTCGCATGCTTTGCTATTCGTCTCTAACCCAACTTAACTTTGCACTTGTCTGCAAGTAAGACTGAAAGAGTCTGGCAGCTCGCCGTCACCCAACTTTATGCTTTCTAAACCCCAGTACGAGAGAATACGATGTTACCCACGCGAAGCTGGGCTAGAGTCGTGGCACCACTGAGAAAGGTTTTCTCATATCACAGATTGAAGTGGTTTTGTGGCTCGACAGCTATGCCGAGGAAACAAAGTCGGGATGGCTCCAATTCGAGAGCCGAACTTTGCAGTCTACGGTCAAACCAGCAACAAGGCAGGCACCCGCTTCGGCCGTGCACCCGTCTCAGTTATTGAGCTCGAATTATCGTTCAGCATGCGTGGCTGCAATCAACTATGAAAACGGTGACCACCTCAAGTGGACGTCGAGAATAGAGGTGAACCTCCACGGCCGCTGTGAGGGCGGCTTGCGAGGAACGAATCGACATCCCACGCGGTAACGGCTTCGGATTCGATACCTCATCTCGCCGCCAATCTTCTGCCCGGCACTCCGTTTGCATTCCTATGCTCTACAATCGCTGAGCAACCCATTGGGTCGGGCACCTGCCAAGCTCACGATTTCAAACTGCTGGGTACTCGGATTGGGGCAAGATGGTAACTGGAACGGGAGTGTATGGAGCAACGATCAGCTTGAGACTGTCGCTACGGTTTGACATTTGCCAATCCTCCTGAGCATGAGGAGTCTCGAGGCCCGGAACAACCAATTGCTTGCCCATCTAGCATCATATCTCTGAGTAACGCTTTTCCTACAAGCGCACGACAACGTGAGAGAATCCTTGTGGCGCCTCCCATTCGCCACCAGGATGAAGGCTTTTCCCAGCTGAAGGTCAAATGGCATTCTATCAGGAGAAGAAACTGCTCAAGGCAGACACTGCTTAGGCAAACACGATGAAGCTAGCGGCTCACAATGCGCGAATGTCCGCTAGAGGTAGACGCTCCACGTTGGTCGATTGGTGGATAAGAGTGTGCAATCAGAGTCTGCGAGGCTAATGAAAAGGATGAGGAAACCAATTTCGCGTGGCCAATAGACCCGGAACGCACGGCCTCGGCCATCCGGTTGATAGCTACGCCTCCGAAAACACCACGTCGGTTGTTCTTCACGTCTGATCATGCTTGACTCATGATCCCTCAATCTTACGTTTGGGGTCGATTACATTTCTCTCCACGTAAGGCCGCTGGCTCGATAGCTGAAAAGTGCGACTGGACGAGATAACTCGCAGAGACTGGCAAGCATTCGTCCGATATTCTGGTCGAGGCACGGGAGGGCACGGGAACACAGGCCACACACCATGCGAGAAGCGTCGGACGGCTAATGCAGGTGTTTCTCAGTGCATTCCCTGCACCCACGAATGGAGCACTTCGATTGGCCAAGCGTCTGATCTTCCTCTTTCCGACCTGCAGGTGACAGGGGCCTGCGGGAAGCTTAGTTGATGCCGGATGAGCTTAACCAACTTCCCCTGAGCCTGCATTCCTCAGAGCGAAGACCCAGGCAACTGGTCGTCAACGTCATGTATCTGAGACCTTGAGGGCGCATTCGTCGGGAAAGATGAACAGCTACTCGGAAAAAGTCCAGACTCCAGCGATTTCACAAGAGAGCATCTCAAACCTCAAGCTGTTCAGCTCCTTCAGCCTCCAGGGCCCTCGCATGCGCTTCGGTTTCCGCGCGCAGACGTTTGCGGAAGATCGACCACAGCTCGGAACCGGAGGATGGAGGATTGATGCTACCGACTGACCCAGAATCCCCTCTAGCCGCCTTTGTTCACGGTCAGAGGGAAGACTAGCACCTGCGCCACGACTACTAGACAACACTGCAAAACGAGCCAGTCCGAGCGGTGCATTTCGTGAAAGCTCCAGCGGCTTCACGCCAAGTGAGCTGTGGCGGCCGATCATCTCTAGACTGACAGTAGACGTTCTGCCACAGAACGGATGACAAGGCTCGAGTGAGCAGCTGTCTGAGGGGTTTTGGCCCGCTCGGTTGAATCCCTCACCAATAATTCCCATCACTGTCCCATAATCCCCATCCGTCGTCTTGCCTGATCCGGGGTGCGAGACAGCTACGGCGCGCCGGCGCAGACCGCGACTTGGCTACGTTTGGAGCTCTCGGCGGTTTACCTCTATGAGCTTGTGCCATTCCGGCGACCGGTTGCTGTTGATGCCACAGTCTTGGCGTCTCGTTCGATGCTCTTTATAAGACCACTTCGTCCTCTCTCGCGATCGGTCCGCTACTTTATTCTACTTTGCCTTTGCTCCTACACGCCTTAGCAGCTACTTCATCACACCTCGACATCCCGAATTTACTTCGATTCAACCTCGGCCCCGAACCATCACAGCCAACCGCCAAGATGAAGTACACCATTGTCGTATCTCTCCTTGCCGCCCTTGTGGCCGCCGAGACCATCGATCAGCTCGTTGCCGAGATTCCCACTTGCGCTGTCACTTGCATCCGTGACGGTGCCCAGTCTGTCAATTGCGATATCACAGACTTTGCCTGCTCTTGCGGAAAGGTCGAACAGCTTACAGCCAAGGTCGTGCCCTGCCTTGCTTCCTCCGGCTGCAGCTCGACAGATCAAGCCAGTATGTGATCCCACAAAGCATGACAAAGACATTCAGGTTTTTGAACAACAGAGCTGACACATCTCCAGCGGTACTTCAGCTCGCCTCTCAGATCTGCGCCCAGGTCGCCGCAGGAGGCACATCTTCTGGCACCGCCTCTGCTGGCTCCGTCACCGCTGCCGCGACTACGGCTTCCGGCACATCAACCTCCTCCCGCAGCGGCACCGCAACAGGAGCTGCCGTCACCACTACAACGTCACCAGCCGCCGCTGGTCGGGCTCAGGTTGCTGGCTGGGCTGGAGCCATCGCCGCGGCCGCTGCGTTCGCTCTCTAAATTCACCTTTCTCACCTACCAGTTGTGGCTTTGATTCAAACAACGTCTTTACTTCAACCCTTGTAGTTGACATACCCAATGCAAGAGGAAAGATTGCGGATTGCGGAGTTTAGCGGGAAAAAGAGAAATAGCCAGCACACCTGACGATGGAAGTCTTGATGTAGTTGTACGCGCATGCATATCTAGTTCTATCAGCTGATTAATGGCAATGTAAACCTGGAGAAACATTGATATCCCAGATTGAATCATCTACGATTCCGTCTTTGCCCCCGTCTCTATCATCATCTAATGTTAATACCGTCTAAGTCTATTGGGTATCACGAATCCCACCATCTCCTCTCGTCTTATCCAAGTCCGAATTTGCCCAAGGCACTTCCGTCACCGCCATCCGCACCGTCCAGCCATCCATGCAGGTCATCCATGGCAGCAAACTGCGCAGCATACCTCATCCCCTCGCGCCGCCTCTTCTCAACCATCTTCCAGTCCCACGCGCCGTCGTCCGCGACATCGCTCAGATCAACACTCTCGTCCCCGACACCGTTCTCGCCGCCCTGCCATCCGCCCTCTGTCGGCCTGTGCGGCAGCAGCTCGCTCGCCTCGAGAGCGACGGCCGGGTGCACCGTCAACCGCCCAATCTTGAAGACGTACTTGCTCACGCCCGTGGCGTAAATCTTCTTCTCCCAGTCCGCGCTGTTGCTGCTCGCGTCGCCGCTGGTGTTCCTCCGGACCCGCGCGGTGCCGAATTTCGGATCGAGCCACTCCGTCGGCCGCGCGGTGCCCTTGGGGACAAAGTGCGTGACGATGTACAGCCACTTGCGGTCCCACGAGAGGATGCGGGACCACATCTCGTAGGGTGCGTAGGCCGTGATCTCGCGGCGGAAGGAGCAGTGTACGGCGCCGAGCATGATGCCGAGCGGGCCGCGGGCGGGTTTTG